GGATTTGGCGTTAAATATTTTCACACAAAAACTTCTATTATCAAGATAATCTTTTATCGTATTAATTATGTACTTCGGAAATTTGAGTTTTATCATTTTATATACCAATCCATTAATCCAAACTGTGTCGAAAGCCTTTTCAACATCTAAAAGTATCATGCCTGTATTGCGTCTTCTATTAAGCTTGAATATAATTTGTTCTATAAGTATTGAAAGTGGGTGAAGTGTGGAGTGATTTTGACGAAATCCATATCGATTGTTTGGTATAATTTTATGCATGTTAATGAAATCTAGGATTCTATCCTTAAGTATTTTTTCATATATTTTGCTTAAGGTATTAAGTAAGCTTATTGGTCTATAGCTAGATGGTAAATCAGCATCTTTATTAGGTTTCTTAATTGGAACAGTATTACTGATTTTCCAACTTCTTGGAAAGTAATTATATTTCATGCTAGCATTTATTATTTTTGTAAAAAATATTATGGATTTTTTATCTAGATTTTTAATACAATATTAGGTATACCATCGTCTCTAGGAGTACTCCTATTTTTCCTAGATTTAATTATATTTTTAACTTCTCGAGGTGTGGATAATTTAATATCATTGCTTTTGTGGTTTGAATCATTATATTGATTCACAAAGGAATTAACATAATTTGTGAATGTGATTGAACCTATATTATTATTTTGTTTGTGAATGTTCTCAAATGCATCTGCTATAACATTAGCTTTATGTTCATTATCAAAAATATACGTAGAATTTATTTTCAAATTAGGCATGATTTCTTTTTTCTTAGTGAATTTTCTTGCGATATACCACACTTTAATTTGATCCATATTAGTTCTCTCAATTTTTTTATTCCACAGTTGGTTCCTATATATTCCAATATTAGAAGAAATGATCTTGGTTAATTTATTCAGTAGTGTTTTCATTTGGGGATCATTATTATTTTGCCATAATTTTCTTATTCTGTTTTTGTATTTGATCATATGTAAAATATGATCGGGAAGTTTGTCATATGTTACGTTATTTACTTTATATCTATATTCTATATTTACGCTATATCTATTTCAGGTATTGAATCAATGTGTTGTTTAATGCCTATTTTTTCGTTCATATTATGTCTGAATAATTCCCAGTTGGCTTTTCTAAAGTCAAATTTCGTATTATTTTCACTATTAATTTCAATTTCATGCAATGGAATGGATATGATAACGGGGTTGTGATCGGAATTGGTTCCAGATATTGTATATGGTAAATAATGTGTATGAATATTTTTTGTTAATGATAGATCAATAATGGAAGGAGTTTGCAAACTATTAATAGGATATCTAGTTGGAGAAGGAGTATAATGTAATGTGATGTCATTTGAGTTTTGTACAAGAAAATTATAAAGACGTCTTCCGTTAGTATTATTATTAATACAATTCCAGAACTCATGTCGTGAATTGAAGTCACCAGCAATTAATATTTTAGTATTTAAATTGAGTATATTAGTTAAATCTAATATTTCTAATTTATTACATTGGATATAAATGGAACAGAATGTTGTTAATTCATTGTTAATGTTGATATTTATTGCTATCGCTTCAGCTGATTTTAGGTTGGAATTTGTATCTGTTTATATTTAATATTATATTTAATTGCCATGCACATACCTCTTTTACCAGTTTCTCTGATATCACTTCTAATTATGTTGTATCCAGGTATATATATTTTATTATTAGTTTTCAGTAAGGTTTCTGATATGAATACAAGATGTATATCATTATTTGTTAGTATATGGATTAGTTCTACTAAATTTTTTGTAATGCCATTTGCATTCCAATACATAATATTAAATTTAGATTCATTTATATACATAATGAAATGAAACATTGAAATACTAAACTTTGTTTTTCTTTAACCGTTGTTGTTTTTTAATGTCATTTGCTAATTTCAGTAAGGTTTGAAGTGTATATTTAACAGTAGGATCTGAAAATAATTCTTTTAAGTCTTTAAGTGTATCAAACATGTTACTCGTCGGAAATTCGTCTGTGTTTGTGTTGTTGTCAGTGTTTACATTCTGTCCTGGTAGGTTGGGGAAGTTATGTAATGATTGGGAATATGATTTCAAAAGTGGTTTAGGTGTGGGAGCTGGTATGTAAGAAATGGTATTTGTAGATTTTTTTTTCTTTCATTTTTCTCGGTACGTTTATCAAGATATTCTCTGAAATATCGGCATTCATTAAAATTGGCTGGGTGATTTCCAGAGCAATTTACACATATAGGTAGTTCATTATCAGTTTTAGGACACTCTCCAGGGGCATGTTCTTTAGTGCATTTAACGCATCAAAATTTCATATTGCAAAATGCTGATGTGTGACCAAAATATTGGCAACGGTAACATTGTGGCACTCTCTGAGATTTAGAAATTAAACGTTCCCACGATTTTTTATGTCCAGATATGTGGTTAATTATTTTGAATACATTTAAATCTTGTTCAAAATTTAAAAATATTATATGAATATTTATATGGATATTATTCTTAATATTTTTTTAACTTTAATATTTCTTTCATTTAGAAAATCATAAATTTCTTCATTTTCAACATATGGAGGTATACCTTTAGCTACTATTTTTTTATCACTATGTAATGGATAAGTAAAATATTGGATTTTATCATCTGTTAGTCGTTTTTGTATTTGGCAGTAATCATGTTCATTATAAGTAGAAATTAAGTAATTTTCTATGCCACGGTATTGTGACAGTATTTGATCCTTACTAATTTTCTGGAGTTCATTTATGTATTTATTGCTCGGTAATTTACTCTTAATTATAATAGGAGGCATTTTAATTCTTTGAGTAATACTAGTTGTATCTTTACCTGCTGATGTATTTTCTATCCTGTCACCGTTAATAGATCGTTTTCTGCTTTTAGTAGATTGTAAGTCTTCTTCAGGACCATTTGAGTCATTATTTAAAAGACTAAATCTATTTTTGGTCTCGTAGTCACTATTTACAGTAGTTCCGTTACCTTTCGTTATTCCTTGTGAGATCGATGGTTGGTTATCATCATCAGAAAGTTCCATATTTGTGTTATTCTTATTTTTTAATGTACTTAACAAACCTGTGACATATTCGGTGTTCGTATTCGATGTGTCGTTCAGAATGTTATCCCTTTCTACAAGAGGTAATCCTCCATTGTAGTCAATCTTTGCCCCCCCCCCCCCCCCGAAGGGAGCATTTAATACAAATTGCAAAAATACAGTTGTAGTTTTCAGTTCGAAACACTGGTAAATTATTATTATTGCACTCACTTGTTCGTTTTACGGTTATGTAATATTTTTGAATCACGATGTATTCACTTTGAGGTCTGAGACCAGAATGTTTATAATAAGTATTATTTACGCACTGTGACTCACTAACATTATCAATGTCGATATCTATATCAGATATCGGCGATAAGGGTCTGCCGCCGGAATCCGGCGGCTCGGTATCCATAACTGGTAAACAAACTATTATTCACAATATTTTTTTTTTTTTTTTTTTTTTTTTTTTTTTTTGGCTTCGCTTACTCTGAGCATTTAGCCACCTACAACATTTATTTACATTCTATACTAATTTTACATCATATTCAATCTATATTCTATTCTCCTTTCATACTATATACTTTCTTTCAACTTATCTTCTTCACATAAATCCTATTCCTTTTACGTAGTTCAACTTAACTTCATTCTTCCTTATTTTATCTTCTTACTTATTTCTACTATTTTATTTTTTTTATTTTCAATTCTAATTCAATTTTGATACATTCTAATATCTTATACATTCTAATCATTTTTAACATACATCTTACAATTGAAATTCTATACATTCTGATATTTTTATTCACAATATTTAAATTTGTACCTGTAGACGATCTTTACTCTTCGGCTGCCGAAATATGAAAAATAAGTTATATAAAATTAAATTGTCTGACTCGGTAATGTGTTTACAATGTATGAAGGAAGATAATATTACCCACTACATAACTGAATGTGGACAAAAAAAGAAGGTATAGGATTGGTTAAGAAAGAAATTTTGAAAGATCAGCAAGGAATCGGAAAAACAGACCAAAAGATTTATCTAATACTTTTGTTTGGCTCCTATCTGGCGTTTAACACAATTTGTTAGAAGGAATAAAAGAAATCACAATAATTGAAAGAAACTTAAGGTTGAAAAGACAAGAAGAAATTAAAAGGAAGAATGAAAATTTTGGTTATTTATATAATATATTGTAAATTCTATGCAATGTAATGTAAAATTATAAATGTAAATTGAATAATAAAAAAAATAAATAAAAAAATAACGTCACTAGCATTCCCGAAACTTGATTGTTACATAAAAATACGAGCATTTTTATCAAGGAGAGTTTCCCAAATATCAAGACCTCCTGCAGTTTCTGCAAAAATCACAACAAACAAAAAATCAAGTATATGGTATGACCAATAATTTCGCAAATGAGAAGCCAAATTACAAAAACACTTAAATTAGCCAGTCATTTTTGTTGATACGAATATGAATCAATACGAAAAAATGCTTTGTGTGTCGGGAACAACACAGAGTGTTTACTCGTTCGAAATTTCTAACATTGAGTATACCTGATCAGCGATCCCTGAATCAAGAAATCAACTTTTGACTTCGGATTTGAAACATGCCGAGGTAGTTATTATTCCATTAGTTCAAGAACATCATTTTTCCGAAGAATTTGGTTTTGGATTCTAATCATTGTTTACGCGTTAAAGGTAGATTAGGATTAACCACTAATAGCAATCCACTTCTTTTGCCAAAAAAAAGTCCAAGTAGTAAATTGTCTTATAGATTACTACCATATTAATAATTTACATACTGGATCAAACTTAGTATTATCTTTATTAAGGCCAATATATTGGATCTTGTCGGCTCATGCAATAATTCGTAATCGTCTTCACAAGTGTATAACTTGTTTTCGACAGAATCCGAATCCTATTTTTTCATTTATGGGCGACTTACCAGTACCGCGCATAAAAGCCAGTAGAGCTTTCCTAAACGTCGGCGTTGATTATGCAGGCCCCTTCAATATCTCCATGAGTCGTCACAGAGGCGCTCGAACCCACAAGGTTTATATATGCTTGTTCATCTGTTTAGCCACTAAGGCGATAGATCTCGAATTAACTTCAGATTTAACAAGCGATACATTTTTAGATTGCTTAAAACGATTCCTAGCCCGGCGTGGTCCTATTAAATGTATTTACTTCGATTTTAATCCACCGTTTGCCCCACATTTTGGGGATATATGGGAAGCAAATATTAAATCAGTGAAGACCCATTTGTTTAAAGTTATAGGGTTGCAAATTGTATCCTACGAAGAGTTTAATATCGTCCTCAATCAGATCGAAGCCTTACTAAATTCAAGACCGTTATGTTGGCTGGGCAATGATCCATCGGATTCTCAACTTCTTACGCCTGCGCACTTTTTAATGCAAGAGCCTCTGTCGGATTTGCCCGTTGACTATGAAAACTTGAATTTGACTAAAAGAAAAGAATTGCTCGATCAAATTGTCGCTTCTTACTGGTCCGCTCGAGCACGTCCGCTCCATTGGGGGTTGGGACGAGTTAAAGAGGTTTTTCCGAGTCCCGATGGAGTGGTTCGAGTGGCATTGGTAAAAACGGGAAATACCCTAATCAAGCGGCCTGTGGTCAAACTGTGCCCCTTATCAATTCAATAGTTTATATCTAAATCATTCATTCCAAAAATAAAAATAAAAAAAAATCTATCTCATTTATTATTTATTTGCTTCTATATATAGGTTTGCCAATCTTTCCATTCTCCAGGGTACTGTGAGAACACCCCTCATAGTCTCTGGAAGATTCTTGTAAATATCAAAAAAATCTAGACCCTGGCGCAAAAATAAAACTTCCGCAATCTAGATTGTGTGAATGTGGTAGGTAGTGAGAGCGGAACCCTGGCGCGAAGTCAGGCTTCCGTAACCCCGATCTACTCTGAATAAATGTATCTGAAATAAATCTTCAGGAGAATATTCGCGGAGAGTTGTCTTATTCTTATGAATGTTTCTAACAGTGTCAACATTAGATCAGATCACAACCTATTACATGATTCATATTTAAATTTTTTACACTTTTTGACAAACAATTAATATCGACTTCCTTTTAAGATCAATAATTTAAGTATTCACACCCTAACATATAAAAACACACACATACAATCTCACAGTTCTCGTTCAAGTGTTTACATGTGTTACACATGAATCACCAGATTCAGTTAGTTTGTTTCCAAAAGCCGATCGCATAACATCGAGAGAACAATATTATTTGTGTTTTGAAATAATAATTTTAAAAAAGACAAAACTTTTAGTAATTTTGATTTACAAAATTTAAATATTCGGCGGAAAAATAACTCACAAATTCATTTTTTGTTTAAAAATCTTGTTTAGTGAAAAAGTGCTAACGTATATTCAAACATACAGGTAATTAATTCAATTTTGTCATTAACCTTTTCTTAAAATTTTCCATAACTTTCAGAAAATTTCTATCATTTTTAATATCCTGTGCTGATAATCCACTCATTTATTTTTATCATTTTCATTTTGATCATATTATCATATTTCTGTACATTATTATTTTTTGCAATTAATTTATTATTTAAGAAAAATCTATTTTCTTTTCCTAAACCTATTGTTTGCTTAAATCTCATCAAGATCATGTTTCTTGACAGATGTCCTGCCCAGTAAACCACAGAAGTTACCACCACGTAACACATTTTGTAACTTTCGTTTCGAAACTGATGCTGTTACGTATAGTTGTGAGCTTTAACCACCGTCGACGCGTTTAAACGTTTATAATACTATGCTTTGTTCGTATCTGTCGGTACGTGGCGTGGTACGTTGCACGGTCACATACATTTGCCTTTGAACATAGCCGTGAAGTGTTTTATGATCGAAATGTCAAATTAAATATAGGTTAACTCGGTCAGTGCATCGTGGACGCATAATTGAGTATTTTATCGTGTATGTTTGAAATGCAAGATATTTCCTTTATTGAAGCGTTATTTATTAATTGCTTTTATATTTAGTGCGAAATCAGTTGTAGAAATTAGTTAAACAGTCAGCTGGAAAAGTATTTAATATGAAACCGGCAAACAAGGTGAGTCTAATTGTACTGAAATATATTTTAATTTATAAATTATTATAATAATGTTTAGTCCTTTGCAGTATATAGGCCGCCTTCAATGCAAAGTCTGTTCATGTATTGTGATAATTGATTTGTCATGTAATAATTGAAATTTCTAACACACCAGTCAGAAACATAACCTCAATTCAGTGATATATGAATAAAGAGAAGTAAGTTATATAGTTTTATACATATTCATTTTTTATAGTTCCATTAGTATCAGAACTATTTAGCTAAGCACAAATTGATATAAGTTGGTTTTCAATTGTAGAGAAAATTATAGTGCTGATAACCCCTACGAAAATGGATTTCAAGCTAGGGAAATTTTCTCCAATAGAGAAGATAAATACAAAGTTAGATAATATATTAGAAATTATTAATCCTTTGTCACCAAAAAAAAAAACAAGCAAGGCTTAAAAACATGCAAGAAGAAAAATAAGAACACATATCGATAAATAAGAACACATATTAAGATTAAGTGTTGAAAAGAAAATGAATTGTGGAGTATTTCTTAAGTGATGATATTGTATTACAGAATAGGTATATTAATGTTTTACACAAAGAGAATTTTAACTAATATGATTTAATACTAATTTGTAATGTTTTACTTTTAGGAAATTCACATATTCAATACGAAACCAGGAAAAGTGAGTATAATTGCACTGTTTTTTTTTAATTTACAAATTATTATATTAATGACTAATTAGTTATTTTCAGTATATAGGTCATGTGCAATGCAAATTCTGTTTATGTATTGTGATAATTGATTTTTCACATAATTATTGAAATTTTTGACAGACCAGTCAAAAATAACATAACCTCAGTGATATGATATGAATATTAGAGGTAGATAAGTGTAATATATATGGTATCATACATATTCTTTATAATTTCATTAGTATCAGAACTATTCAGTTAAGCAAAAACTGATATAAATTGCTTTTCAATTGTAGAGAAAGAGTGCTCATAACCCCTATGGGTTATGTCAAAATGGAATTCAAACTAGGGAAAATTACTCTAATCAAGAAGATAAATTGTCACCAAAGAAACATGCAAGAAGGAAAACAAAGAATGCACTGGATATCACACATTATATGGATTAAGTGTTGAAGAGAACATGAATTTTTGAGTATTTCGAGTCTGATCTTGCATTACAGAATTGGTATATTAAGGTTCTACATGGAGAGAATTTTAACTAATATGATTCAGTACTAATTTGTAGTGTTTTACTTTTAGGTAATTCAGATCTTGAAAATTAATAGGATAAAATCAATGCAAGAAAATTGAGTGTGTGTTCATGGAATAATTATCTCTGTCATATGATCGTAGGAACTACATAGTCATTAACTTCAAATAATGAGTATGTTTAGAGGTAATGTTCACAAATGACTAATTTGTTCACAATGTTTTCAATTCAAAATTTGTGTACAATGTTTCTAAGATGTTTGGTTCTATTTTAGATACATTAACAGATGCAAGTGAGTTGAACATATTTAACGCAAAACTTAACTTTGCCAAGTCTGATTTAACTGAAGTTGCCAAGAGAGTTAAACATAATACATATTATGAATAAATAAATAATTATATTTATAGGCTAACATTTTATGGACTATCAAATTTTAGTTTTCTAATGTTAACTATGTAATATGTAAATTTTGTATATTGTAAATGATAATATTTAATAAAATTACTAATGATCCGAAATTATTATTAATATTCTATATTTGCAGGAAATTTAATCAAATAAGTATGTAACATAAAAGACACCTACACGCTTTTTTATTCAATTTAGATACGTAGCAAAAATGTAACCGCGGTGTATTAGTGTGCAACGAAACAGCCGTTACGTTCTTGCCCGCGAAATAGATGCTTCTGTGTGCCTCCCAGGTTACGTACCTGGTTCGTGCGGACGTGCCGGCGTTACGTAACGTTCATGGCTTTGTTACGTTTTGTGGTTTACTGGGTGAAGATGGAACGTACCTAGTTCCGAAACGTCGACAGTAAATAAATAAATAAATAAATAAATTGTTTATGAAAAACTTTTCTTGTTTCTTTATTACTTTTGGATTCTTGTTCGAAACTCTACAATATATATATATATATATATATATATATATATATATATATTTATGAATATAATTCTAGTACATGTTTTATTTCAAAATAAATATAACTTGATCACAATTGACTTAATTGGTCGGCAATGTTTCGTTTTTAATAATTGCTTCGAAGTTTTTGGCAAATTCTCATATCTGTCTTCTCGTAATATTGTTAATAATTCTGTTACTACGTTTAATGTTAAAATATTCAGATTATCTAATGTCCAATAGCGAAGTTTTTCTTTTAATGTTTTTTTTCGATACTGCTTCTTCACTGTTTTGTTGCAAAGAACTATGCAAAATTTTATCTCTAAGTTTGTCATTTTTATTATTGTCGAATATATCTCTGAAGCCATAACTTTTTAATAACTATCATTATTACTACAGTAAAAATTATTAGAGGCGTTATCCAAGTTATTATTATATTCTTGTAGATTACACGAGTCTGTATCACTAAGATCATTATCGTCATTTTCAAAACTGATGTTAGCACTTATTTGATTATTTACACCTGCTAATAATTAGATCAGTTTCTTTATTTAGATTTTTTTTTTTTTATTTAACGTACGCCACCTTTGAACTCTAAGGTACCCAGCTGATATGATTATTTTAAACAGCAATCAATAATAAAAACAAATGTGACTTAGGAACTAGTCATAAAAAATTGACTGTCTGAATAACACACGATGTATAATCGTAGTTTACAGACTAAGCATCGATACTATAAGCCGTTTACTACCGCCAAGTGTGGCTGACGTCTGAGTGTTACCAAAATACTCGAATCATGCCGTACATGACCGAACGCAGGTCAATATTGATCCAATTCTGGGCAATCATTGGCATGGCCAAGGCTAGGTTACCCATACTTGAACCAAGCACGGATAATCATTGAACGGCCAAGGCTGGGTTAACCAGTCGTGGCCCAAGTATGGTTAATTATTGGCATGGCCAAGGCTGGGTTATCCAGTCTTGGACCAAGCATAGATAATCATTGAACGGTAAAAGGCTGGGTTACACAGTCGTGGCTCAAGTACGGTTAATCATAGACATGGTCAAAGCTGGATTAGCCAGTCGTCGTTCAAGTATGGGTAATCATTGGCATGGCCAAGGCTGGGTTACCCAGTCTTGAAGATGAATAAATTGAACGGCCAAGGCTGGGTTAGCCAGGTTTTTTTATTGAGAGTCTATAACCGCTGAACCTGCTTTTTCAAAATTCTGAACAGTTCTTCGTTTTGTCAATATAAGTAAAATGTTTTTTGAATTATTCAAATAGAACGTTTTGTTCTCTCAGAAACTGAATTACAATTTTTGGTTCTTTTTGACCTGTATTTTCGAAACGGCTAGACCTGTCTATGCTAAAAACTAATCAGCACCGCTCCTTATCAATACAAAGCAAATGTTTTCTATATTATTCAAATTTGTTGATCCGTGTTTTCAAAATCGTCGACAAAAATTTATATTCGCGCACACACACGCACGCACATACATCATATTTTACAAGGTATCCCAAAATGATCAGAAGGTTTTGAAACGTAAAGATATATACAAATTTTTATTTTAGATTTTTTTGCGATTACTATAACTTGCCGTACGGAAAGTTCAAAAACATTCGATTCGTATTGATGGTAAGACGTGCTGAATAGTTGTTGGCAGAAGCAGATTTAGCCGTCTTGAAGATACATATCAAGAAGTGCCAATATGATTCAAAATACATATTAGATGCATTGACAAAATGAAAAATTAATAAAATTCTATTTATAAGAAAAGTTGCAACAATTTTGAAGCTCTAGACTAGTGATTCCCATTCTGGTGGGCGGTGAAGGGCTTTTGTGTATTTAGAGGGCGATGCTCAGTTGTAAGGGGCGTTTGAAGCACAAAATTAAAAAAATATTATAATATTAATATTATATATAAATAAATGATTAAAATTAACACTGAATTATATAAAGATAATATTTTAGTTTAAGTTATTCAAACATATCTGCATAGGTGTATTAGTAAATACATCCGTTTTAAAACTGTGCACCGCCAATTCTTGTTTCGCAAAAGGTTTATATATTATATATTAGTATATATTAACGAAAAGAATGATTTATACGTTTCTTTGTGTGTCGATAATTTGTATAACTTTTCAAAAGCGTGTAACTTTACTTTTGTGAGAGATTCTTTAAGAGATTCTGTAAGATTGGCGGATATATGATCATTATTTGTCGTGCTATTAATTATATTTCTTTGATATCTACCCGTAACTGTCCACTCGAATGCCGCGTTTTGTAAAATATAATTTTGTAAAGTATTATTCTTTCGTTACATAAAATTTCAAAAAACGTATCAATACCTATCAACATATCTACTTCGCGCGGAATATTTAGGTGTGAATCCAAAAGATTTAATCCATTAGGAAGATTTAGTTCAGAAATTTGGATTTGCTGCCCGGGTAGTAGACTTGATATTTTCGTAAGCACAAAGGCATTTATAATGTCCAATCTTAATTAAATATTTCTAAATTTGTAAAATTATTCGATTTCGTTGGAATTCCAACAAAACCGTGAAGCTTAAGGCTCGTGGATTGAGATTTAACGCGTAATATTTGGAATAGCGATTTTGATATTGTATTAATTTCCGAGTCTAATTCCAATATTGCTTGAGTTTTAACGCGACTCCCTTTATTATTTTTTGCGAACAAATTTACACATTAAAATTATAATCGAAATACATCGAATAACATCGAATGGCTTCTAAATTTTTAAAATTGGTTTATGCGTTTTTAATTACGTAATCAGTCTGCAAATTCAACTTGTTCATCAACAGACATAATAACTAATGCTCCCTTACCGTCAACAAACATAACAACTAATGCTCCCATACCGTCAACTAGCGTTATGGAAGTTGAAGCGGAAACTAACAATTCTAACAAAAACAAATGGCAAATTGTCCCGATTGCCGGCGTTAAAAGAAGATGTTTGAATACTCAAACTGATAATTCGATTGCATTAGGCAATCGATTTAGTGTCCTTACTAATAAAGAACTTTATTACTTTTTGCGAACAAATTTACACATTAAAATTATAATCGAAATACATCGAATAACATCGATTGGCTTCTAAATTTTTAAAATTGGTTTATGCGTTTTTAAGCAAACATCGTTGAAAGTTTTAATTTTGACAAATGCCATAAAAACGATACCAATTTTTGCAAACTTTGACGAATTTTCAAAATTTAACTTGTCGTAGGACCGTAATATCTGAGTACCGTCAAAAAAACATAAAAATTGTCTAAAAAATTTCTTCTATAATTAATTACTGCTACTTATATTAATAAAAACATTTTATTACAAGAAAACGGCCCGGCCGATCATTACGGAAAACTAATCAGGTCGATTCCCAACCAATATGTTTCAAACAGTTTTTGAATTTTCAAAATCGATTCAGAATTGCGGGCTAAAACGTGGACGAAAAACTTTTTACTTTTCTGCGATTTAGAAAGAAACGGCTCGGCCGATCGTCGAACAAAACTGAGAAACGTTAGTCCTCATCGAGATACA